TAACATACTATGTATAAAGTATAAGAAATATAATCGATCTTTAGGATTTAACGGGGATTCACATGTTCGTGAATTAAGTCCATTTTATCTACTTTCCTAAAATATATCCATTAATTAGATAAAGCTATGTCACCTGTTATCTTCAGTCTGGTGATAATACACAGTTGTTTTATGCCTTATCCATCAACAGTCAAAACTATTTTCCCTCACAGTTGGGATCCACCAGAAGACTGTTTCCCGAGGCCGCTGTAGCTAGGCTTAAAAAATGATGATTGGACGAAAGAAGGAAACAGTTCTTCTGGTGGTTTCCAACTTCGAGGGAAATTAAATTGACTGTTGATTGACTTGGCATGAAACAGCTGTTTTTTCACTTGACCAACTTGACCAATTGAAGAACAAACATTTCAGAAAGCAATCAGCATTGAGTATCTGTAAGCATTCACAGGTCTAACTGCACATTTCTTTATGTAATGTCTTACTGATTACTGCGTCAAGGTTTTCAAATAATTGCAGCAACGCTTCGTCGTTTATATCTTCAAGTCTTTCTATCACTTAGACCTAGCAATCGGGGCAGCTGACAAACATTCCACATTCTTCGTCATAGTCATGAAGATGTTTGGAAATATATGCGTTGATCACATAATGTATATCAAGTGATCAAGCAACAGTCTCAGGTGACTAGTCAACAGTCGAAGGGAAGCAAAAATGAGCATAAGGTCGGATTACAATTTAGTCTGTTACTGACTCTATAGTAGTTCAGTAAGATTTAGCAGTATATGGATAAGACTGGTTTTAATTTACACATCTTAAATCAAAGGAGGTAGTTTAGCTATTGATTACAGAACAGGTAGATATACTACACACAATACGACTACGACATGTATTTCATATCTTAAACCTTTTGATCAACAAAAACTAGTGTAAATGGTAGTTGTGTCTATATATTGAATAATTGACAAAGAAACACAACTGCTGAAGGAAGACAATTTCATGGCTCGTGCACTGTACGGGCCTCGAACTCACGAATTACGGCTCCGAATCAGGCGAGAAATACATGCATTCCTTTCCACTACACTAACCCACCTTCGTGGAAAAAGTTTCGGTGTTGCCGTGGTCAACAGCCCGATACTCTCGACATACATTGGATATGGGTATGGATAAAAAGATCATAAGTCTTTGTCACAGTCATTAGCAAATGACAACTGTGCCATTAGACGATCGACACATTTAAGTGTGACATTACACGTAACGTCAAATTGTGGATATGGTCGACACCTCATCTGATCACAAATCATTACGAGAGCCGGCTATCCAGAGGGGCATGGCTAGACATCACTTAACGGAAACCTTGCTTGTTTGTGTCAACTTAACATAGGATGTAATATGAAAGCGGTATACAGATGGGGTGAGGCTAGACAAATGAAGCGTCAATGAATGATCATTATATGAACACGGTAGCTAAAACTCGCCAGACACATCATTCGGACGACAAAATCAAAACGTATAGTAACAAGAAAAGACATTATTGATGTTTCAATTGAGACTGTCCGCTTACCTGTCCATATTCAGGGGGTACAAAAGACAGCCCCAATCGTACAAAAATCTATTTGAATCTAGGACTCTAGCTGATCGTGCCAGATTGGATTACCAGTGAATATCCTATCTGATAATCACAAAAGTAAACATCATCTACTTCTATACTATATTATGGGGACGAAAAAGAAACCAATATTGATCTGCAGCCTCTCTTGGAATATTAAAAATTTTCTTTGCATCGTACTTGCACTTTCTTTTTGGTGATGGCTACTTAGTCATCTCTGGTAAGCCCATTGTGAGATTAATGTTACAGGTAGGGATAGTATGTTATCTTTAATAGATTGTGGATTTTAAAGGATATGTGTGTCATTGGTGAGGCTAGAGGACAAAGAAGCTGGAAACCTACATGGGTATAAACTACTGTTGAAACAGAGTGTCAGATGAGTGAAACGCCCTAAATTATAAATTTAATTTTAATCTGTGAGTATTGTTAAATTTCGTTTTAAGTAATCTGTGAAGTGGGTATATCATGAAACATGTACCCAAAAGAGACAACTGTGGCCATCAAGGTTACAGCAAACCTCGGGGACTAAATGATCCACCAGCAGAGTAAACCACCTTTTATTTTGAATGATGAACATACCACACACTGGAGAGCACCTTTAACCTTTGGTAACATATGCCATATGGCTTAGGATATTGCGTAGACGCAAGAACATTTAGAAAACAAGAAAACCGCTTCCAAATACACAATGAACACGAGATACATGTCATCATTTATTTGTAACCATTCATATGACGGCAACATTATTAAAACATATTAACCTGTATTATTATGAGAGACAATGTTTATTTTTATCGTAACCGATATGGTTGGTCTATACAATTGTATAAATATGATCAGAACATGATTCGAGACAGAAAGCTCACATTGATGCTATATTAAACCACATTGTTACCTTAATATCAGCTTGGCGTACAATTTATAACTAGGCTCAACCTATGAATAAAACACAATAAGTGCTTCATGGACAAAATCTCAACGCTATATTCACCGAAATAATATTACACTTGTTCTTATTTTTGAAATGCCATAGTCATACGAAAACATGCTTGATCTTCATAATTCTTAAACAAATGCAATTTGAAGGAATCATGTAACGGCTAGACCAGATTTTTTTTTTTTTGAATTTCGAGGCATAATCAGCAATACATATCACCAAAGTACATTTCAAGATACGTCTAAGATACAGTAGGTAATCACTTAGAAATTAACATTTGATTCAGTCTGTTTACATTCATATCCATTTATATCGTACTAATTCACTTATTCATACTAGATCACTTGTTATATTTTATGTATACAGAGAATAGACAAGAATTCTTAATAGCTGCTCTTACCTACGAGTTAGTCGGAAAACCTGTATTTTAATTAGGTTAAATAAGTCGTATGCTAAATGCAACAGGACATGTCGATAACATGATCATGTGAAAGTATCTAGTGACTAGATGACTCTCCACTGTGACATATGCAAACGTATAATTAGAACGTTTCATTTTTCAAGTCATTCGGGTATTGAAGCTAGTTATATCTAGCTCTAGATGGATGAATTGTTAGAAACACATGTGACTGCGCCTTTATAAATTGGTACTACATACAGCATTACCAAAATGGGTAACACTACATCATTCAGTTGTTTCGTCATTCTAACACTTATTCCGTTATGGTAGGGGCAAAAGGGGGATACAGAATTGATGGAAACTGATGTTGACTGAAGGGGGAAGAGGTGCGTGGTACTCCTTAGCTATATAAACTGTTTACGTATACCATCTAAATAAGTTTTAAAGTTAAGATCTTTTTGTATAACTGGAAAAAGCAGCACGTTGTAAAATATGTGCTTGTCAATATTTTTTGCGATGTAGTGAACAAAGCTAACAAGGCTTTTTACGATAAGAGTCTGTCAGTAGATATCTGAATATCGACGTTCAAACACTCAACTGTCTGGATCAGATTATCTAGATTTTGTCAATGATTATCTCCCTTGTGTTATATCATGTGCTGTCACGCAGATATATGTGGTTTTATTTCGTGATTTTAACCATTAACAGGTTATATTGCATGTGAAATGGGATACTGCATGTACAAGCTTTCCGCATTTCACCCTTGATATATATTCTTGCCTTTTTTTACATGTACTGATTCTCTGAATTAATCTTACAAGACTGTCCTTATTATTAGTGAAATAAGTTTCTTATGTATTGCCGGGTAATATTTAATTTCAGAATGAAAGTTGTGCCATTGCATACATTGTAAAAGATTATATCCTCCGATGACACCGAATCTTTTACGATGATCGTGAGTGTTCATTTCATTTTATTACATTATAATTACCATGATATCTTGATTATATTATTAAGCAGCAGTAAAAATATATACATCTTAACAATAACGTTCAAATCCGTAAAACGATCCCGAAGACCTCAATTTGCACTTTTGCTGATCTCTCGACAATCTTGGCCATCTGGGCATGGAAACAGCGATAACGGTATATTTCCAGACTTATATTAACGTGTAAGAATATCCAGAGATACACGCTTCTGAATACTAGCTACATGTATGGAACCGTTGATCAACCGCATTCATCGTTATTTGTTAAGTTTCCAAGAGCCGCTTGACAACGTTTCAAACACTGAAGAGTTCGAATTTTCACATTTGAAAATTAACATTGTCTTCTTAAATAGTCGAAGAAAAATACAATGTCCAGAGGAAACTACAATAAAACGCGCATGAATGTCACCTTAAGATAGGGATATTGAAAAAAAATGCAATATCGAATGAAATTGAATATTTCGTAAAACAATAACAGTACTGTATCACCTTTCAACAGTCAAGAGTATTATCATACATTTTTGTATAATCATTCAGAAGAAAAAATGACACTTTCCTTCAACAGTATTATATCCCAAATGAATGTTATGAGTTTGTTTATGGACGAAATCGGTTATTGGAAAACTAACAAGATTTACATGTTTAAGTTAGCCTATTGTGATAGTTATGTGACTTACTTGGTATATAAACACTGATGCAGAGAGACAGATACTGCATAGGGATAACGTTATCGTAATCAAAAGAGAAAAAGATATACAGTAACAAAATGCATGGAAATAACTGTCTTGGCTTAATACATAGTTATAAAGTAAACATTGATTGCGAATGGGTAAAATATTGATTTATAATTCTAACTGTTTTAAATACTACTACATATGTATAGGTTTTCATTTTGTAACATGATCACAACGCGCACTGATAATGCTATAAAAGTACAAATATATAATGTCCAAATCCTTTTCGTTTTTATATTCAGAATATATTTTTCTGCCATAAAAAACATATATAAATTGCAGAAAAATCATCTGACTGAAATAAAAATCTTGTTTTCATTTTGAAACTACTTATAACTTACATTTGAATTTAATCTATCCTCTTCATCTATTCTGTCGTTGGAACGATGACTGTTTACATCTCCCTCCTCATCACTGGACTCGGGAGATGGAGGTGCGGGTGACACTCGTCCTGGAACGAAAATAAAGACGAATAATCGTTTGCCATTTATGATATTTAAGCCCGGTAACTGCTGAGGGCTCATGCAGACGGTGACAACTTCGGGCACACTTAAAACTGTCGTCCTATTGAAATGTCTTATTCTGAATACGTTAGTTTGACATATAATGCAGTCACACAACGGGCGTTAATTAGGTACCCAGAGGAAAACACTGCAATTCAAAGAATATGATAAAAAGAAAGGCCCCAAATGTTTAGACCGAACAATTTTGATTTCCTATGTCCTTTAAGAGAGGGCACATAGAAATAAAATCTGTAGTATTTTGTTACTTCACAATAAGAAAAAATGAGATATTAAAGGTTGATCCTTTACCCTAAATTGCAGGGAAAATATGTGGTCGGTTTATGAACGGAAAGCAATACGCTAAGATGTAACTGTGTCTGATAAATGCTTTCTGTCTTTGTGATAGACAGTCAACTTCAGTACAAACTGTGTTTGATAAATGCTTTCTGTCTTTGTGATAGACAGTCAACTTCAGTACATTTTGTTTGCTTTGTACTGAAGGATGAACTTCACAACAGAATCCGCTTTAATGCATATTTAAAAGGTGGTTGAGTTTGTTTTGTTCAATAACCAGTTGAATGCAATTCTTAAATACTATATTACAGGTTAATATATTCTGTAACTACCTTTTTGTTAATTAAAATGTAATAGCGTGCGTTTTTTCAGTGTTTCTTCAAACTTTCAGTCATTTCTAGGTCATTTAGAGGTGTTTCTCATTAAGATTCAACAGGCCTACTAAAAGATGGAATAATAACTCAAAATACCAATCCCCAGATGAGTCATGTTCAAATAATCAAATGAAAAAATTGGAAATATTAACTATGTGAATTCCGATTGTTATTTGTTATCCTTGAACATGACTTATTAAGGGATTGAAATTGTGGAAGGCTATATCATCACTTTAGGGGCTTGTTGAACCTTACCTAACATTATGTGGTGTAACGAAATCTAGGAAAAAACAAAAAGGTAACAAAATAATGATAAAATATCCGTGAAAATTACTTTATTTAAATATTTTTTTACCAAACTCAGGTAGGAAAAGGAGTACAAAGAGAAATTTGAAAACGAACACTGAGAAACACATATGACTAAATGAAAAGCAGTTGTTTAATAATACAATGGGCCGATGGATTTTCAATTGCAGCGGGTTTTTTTCAAAGTTCAACTTTTAGATACTACTCAGAGTTGTTATGCCAAACAGAATATCTCCATAAACAAGCAAGTAGTATGAACTACTAATCGAGCACGCGCTTCTGGTTTGATGTATTCCAAGCTAATAATTAATAAATGAACATTACCCCTTTTTTTACCAAAAACAGTGTTTCGATTGAATGTGATAAAGCGTAACTAGAGCCACAAAGCAGAATATGAGATTAACACACTACAAACCCTAATACAGTGCGTGTCATTTGACCATGACCATTTATAAACAAGTACTAAAATTAGGTGTTAGCATAATGTTTCCGGTAAAATCACTCGTGTCTGAATCGATAGGTGCTTATGTGTGCCATTCGTCATCATTAAGGTTTGGGTGCTACGTTTTCTTGAAGAATCCTTATAGCGTTTTAGGAGTCGACTGAACACTTTTGAAACACGCAATCGGTAAATTTCGATTTACCTTTTTGTGTTTTGATAGAACCTATTTCAATAGCCCTATTTGAACATTGATTAATAAATGTGTGTCGTCATACTATGACTTCATCTGATGATTTAAGATTGATTTGAATTAACCGATGATGTGCAGCTCGTCAAATTAGTAATTTCATTTAAGACTGATTCTGTGAATGCGGTAAATGGTATGTGTGCTGAAAGTCATTCAACATAATTGACTGCTCTGTATGTTGGAACGTAGACTCAACAGATTTATCTGACAAATTTGAAATCTGCGTCTGACTGGAAGAGTTTACATTTAAGGCTTTTGACAACAGGTTCTGAATATTTCATATGGACATCATCCTTTTGATAGAAGGATTGAGGGAGATATAACCTTATAATATTACAATATATTCACTGTGTGGTCGGAAAATAAGAAAAAAACCATTGACAACGTTTGTGAAAAATGAATACCCCTACTGACATCGCGTCGTCTATCCATCAAGTCCTAAGCTTGTCGCCTAGAAACGCTTACTCACTCTAGGTTTTCATAAACATAATATTTGCACAAAGTTTCAGTTACATCAAAAAACAAGAGACATAAAAATTCAGTTAATAACAATGGTTTTTGATTTATAGAAACAGTGATCTTAACCTTGATATGCATTTCATATAACACAAACTCTTTTGAGGAAATTGAACACACAGTTTCATCTAATACATAGAAAATAATAAAAGTAATAGAGCAACACTTAAGATTTTTCATTTATAGTAAACCTGACCTTGACTATTGATACACAGAGCATCTTACTCGTGATCATTCGACGAATTTATACTGGACAAGTATGGCTTTTAACAGTGAAGGGCGACAAATGGAATGATCATATAAATACAACAGCGGAGTAATGATGGAGATATATTACGGACGAAGAGATGTATGCCCTTCAATGTTATGGTAAGGGAATTAAATAGTAAGGTGACGCCAATGTTGGACCCATTAAGTCAGTGACAACACACATTCTTTTATTTCATTAGGGTCGTCTGACATAATGATATACTTTTGTAACAATCAGATTTAGGACGGAAAATTCTTAATCTTTCGCAGAGGCACAACGCATTTAGGGCCTAAACAGACAACATAATCTACGCCAATGCTGGAAACAGAAAAAACAACCATCTGAAAAAAGTCTTCAAGGTTTGCAGTCATATGATGTAATTGTTTAGTATGGACCTTGCCATTAAGAACACTCTAATGAAATTGGCCATTGTACCTTCCAAGACAACACTATCAGAAAACAGTTTTTTGGTGAAAAGGTCATAATATTCCGTCTTTGCGTATTACAGAGTTATCTTCTTTTGAGAGCAGGTATTGATTGTTACGTCAATTGTTAGTGAGAGTAACGTCATAATTTTTTGAGAAAACGACGTAATTTTCTCACACAAACCAATGACGTAACAATCAATACCTGCTCTCAAGAGAAGATAACTCTGCAATACGCAAGACGGAATATATATAACTTATCTTTTGTTCTTTTGCGTACTTAAACATATTTCCCGCTGTCGCATTATTTGCGTTTTTACGTGATCTGTGCGTTATGCTGATGTATAAAGTGTTTGAATAATTATGTAACCGATACATGCTAAAGTAAGGCATGTGAATCTACAAGCCATGCTTCAGTTACTGTACCAATTGTTAACATTATATTTACACCACTATAATATGTTTCAAACTCGTTAATTTCATTGTGTTAATGTTAGGTGCTTTCGTTTCAAAGTTTGTAAATTGTCGTAATACAAACACTATTTTATTGTATTTAAGGAGTTTACATAGCGTTCACCATATTTTAATTTATACTCTCTGAGGACTCAATGAAACTACCAAACGTTGTATGACTATTTTGCTAATAGAATTGACCGGGATCAAAAGTACAAAGTTTTCGGTATATCTATTGAAATAGACAATATTGACAAACTAAAATGTACATACATTCTCTATGCTTTTGTGCAAATAATGTTTCATTAGAAATCATTTATTTTAGACATGGTCAATGACAACGAACAATCAATGACAAACTCTATATTTAAACACCAATTGTACACATCATCTTTCTTAGTTTGTTTTGGTTTGTTTGTGTTTTACGTCCAATTAACAGCTATGGTTATTAAAGTAGTGCCAAGGTTTGGTAAAAGTTTTGAAGGAAAGGAATACTCGTAGAAAAACCTCCGCTGCGGCCAGTACCAGGCGACTACCCCAACGTAGGATTCGAACCAAGTAGTGGAGGGCTTGTGCTACAATGTAGCAGAATGTCAGAAGCCTTAATCACTCGGCCACTGCGGCACATAGCAACTTGCACAACATTTAGTATATCAGATTTTAACATACATTTTACATTGAAATTATATGATCGAATATTAACTTGGGTCGATCTCATTCTGTGATGAATCAAGTTGATCTTATATGAGACCAATGCAACATGAACTGTTTCTCGGTTAGTTGAATTTGTCTCAAAATTTTAAATCAAGGCCATGTCTATTATAACCAACCCTATGTCATCGACAAAAGCAAGGTTCATTTTTTAACTAAACCAACGAGTTGAGTTCTCTGACAAAACAAACCAAAAAAACAAATAGAAAAAAAAATTACCACATTTTTCATAGTTTAAAATTGTAGAACATTTTAGAATGTTTTGTGTTGGTCTTGCAGTGTTTTATCAAACACTTTAGCCCCTTATGGCGTTTTGTCACATATTGATTACAAGAATGCTAAAGGTAGGATTGCTGACAAAGTTTACCAAAGAAATATTTAAATAGGGTAAGGGAAGGATGCAGTCCATGTACGTTTAGATGTAAGTATCAGAGACAGCCAAGTATATAAGGAAACAGATAATAGGATGTTATTAGCAGTTATGATATACAATGTTTATTTATGATAGCAGATGTAACCTCACACAACTTCACAATTAACGCAACAGAATAGCTGCAGATGAACAAATAGGCATAACTTCCTGGTTATCTTCAGTACACGTACCGGTTAATGTGTCAGAACATGGTTTTCATGAAGTTGATCTTTTCTGGTAGTAACAGGATTTTATTATAAACCGTTGCTATTCGAGGCACATTTTCGCATTGCGTCGTTTTAACATCTTCAGGTTTATTCTAAACACCATTTTGGCTTATAGAGATCCTATATGTTGAAACCATTTATCTTCAGAACGTATTTTAGACGGTCATTTCAATACACCTTTCTCATAAGAAACGCGTTCATTGAAAAAGCCGTGATGCAGATAAAGATATATATATATATATATTGAACATATCACGCTTCAAGATGTTTGGTCAACCATGTTCAATAAAT